AGATGGTTGTTCAGCTATCGGGCCACAACGTGTTCCGGGAATTTCAATAAAATCGACAGGTTGGAGATGTGTTTTCAATGGAGGGGCAATGTAAGCGATTTTAAGTTCTCCGGAACAACACCGTCAGTGAGGCAGCGGTCGATAAGTTCGACCTTGAAAGGTGCTAGAGTTTCGACATTTTCCTTAAGTAACGACGTCAACAGCGGATCGCTGGCACACTGCTTGCCTGATAGCGTGTGCACTGCAACGATGATATTGTCAGCTGTGGCGCAAGTGAATTCTAGGAGCACGCAGTCAAACGGGCACGGCTAGAATGTTGCCGATGGAGCATCGGATATAACGTTCGTACTGCAGAAATGTATTTAAAAAAACGCATAGAATTCCTCCGCGATTACGTCACCCGAAACATCTGTATGAGCTCTTCCTTTAGTTTATTCAGCGAACGCCATAGCGCCCGAAGGCCGCTGTGTTGCGTCATCTGGCGCCAAAATGACTCTCATTTAGATAGAAGCTAGACATAATTACGCCGCGCATCTTGCCACGTGGAGGCCATACCAGAAGCAACAGCCGGTTTGCGTGTCTGTTCGCCCGCTAGACAGCCCGCAGGAGCAGTCCAGCTTTGAGACCCGACATTCGTCTTCGAATCACGAGTCGGAGACTCGTTGGGGTACCCGAACTGTGCCTGCAAGTATGAGGTCATCGAGTGCACAGATCAGCTCGGAATTGTAGAGTTGCACTAGGTCGTTAACTGATAGTGCTAACAACGAGTCTGGCCGACATAGTCAGGACGACTGCAGTTTTTTCGCGTAAGACCTCGCCGTCGAGAGCGCGCCACAGAAGACTAGTATATAACGGTTTTGAAAGCTGGACCCGGGCGTGCACATGGCACCGTATGCTGAAGTAATCTATGGTCGGATATTGCGACATCTATCAGGTCGACTGGCTGAATTTGAAGATGAGCACGCGTGATGATAAATTCAGCAGACCACCCATGTCGTGCGTCGGCAAGGCTACGTGACAAACCATGCCAAAGGTGGACAGCAAGTCGTTCAGCTGGGGAGCCGAAAAGTCGTACACACGATCCAGTCCAAAGTTTGAATAAGGACATGATCTCGGGGAAAGTCACAAGTCTGGTGAAGACATTGCTCAATTCGACGAAAAAATCGTGAGCCACAGCAACTGATCCAGGACGATAGACGGTGACTGCATCGCTCGTAAACGAGGCCCAGGTGAACCTAGCACATAGCAGCTCTAAGGAGGGAGTGGGTCTGACGCCGATGTCATGAATGGTTTGGTGCACGTCCCTGCTGGCGGCGGGAGCGCAACCGTGCACCACCAATTTTGTGCACCAATCAGCCTTGAATAAACGCCCAGCATATTTCCGTAAGGCCACCAATCAGCCGCGTATTAATCCGGCCGTCAGGGACCAGTCTATGACATATCAAGAGCTTTACGCCACCATATTCTGAAGCGAATTCTCCAGAGTTTAATGATCATCCACCACTGAGCGTTACATCAAATCATCACTTCATGCCCTGACTTTTGTAACCAGTGGACAACGGACTACGATCAATCAGCCTAATGCGCCTGTGGAACTATATGAAGCCTGTCGTGCACCACCAAACGGTCACTTTTAGCTCAAAGCATCTGGGGTCAGGTTTCAGATAGCATAGTCATATTCCATAATCTGTTGTCCTTCGACGAGTGACCGTTCGACCGTGGGCTGATTCAATGCACAGGCGAGACACGGACGGGTTGGTGGCGAACATTATATTCATTGCAAGGCTTCGGCGCGCTCTGTCCGAGTGGTGCAGAATTTTTTCGCGCTCCGGCTGGCGATTCTGGGCCAAACTATTGCAGGCTGTTTTCCTGTGGGCTGAATGATCTACTTCAATGGATGTGATCTGTCTGGTGGCTGGCAGCTGATTATGTTACAGTCAAGAAGTGTTAGAGGCTACGTTTTTGAGGGAAGTGATCATGAAAGTCCCTTCGAAACACGGCAGAGGTGGTCTCCGACAGGCATCCCCTCGCAACACAAGATCAAAGAGTGAAACGAATTACTCAGTCATGTATACGTTGGATGCTAATTAACGCTATTAGATACGCAGTAATTTAAGAGCACCTGAATAATTTTATTTGGCGCCATATTTGATATTTTTTAATAAGCTTCTGTGGCGTGATATTCTTTACGTTTTTACCTCTCTAATTTTCTCTGATCAGATCAATTGTTGAAAAGGATAAGCAAAATTTTGTGCTCGGCCTGCTAAATGAATGTATATGAAATTGAATTTTATTATCTTCAATCCAGATATTGGAATTTCATTTAAATATCAAAAGGTTGCAATAAGTAAGCTAACGTTAGCAGGCACTCCCGTTTCAATGTTTTCATGTTTGTTCAAATTTTCCTGTAAACCCGAGCAGCGAGACTGGCGAAATGAGACACTCCCTGAGTCTGGCGAGATCGAAATTTGAATTTTAATTTTATAAATTCTAACATGAGCAACTTTAATAAATTCATGCGAAATATAATCGTAGAATGCATGCACGTCAGAGTTGAGTACGAAAACCTGAAAATGTACTAAAAACAAACAAACAACAAAGTACTACAACAACAACAAATGTACTAAAAACAAACAAACAACAAAGTAAAAACAAATGTAGTGAAGTTCATTATCCAGACGCGTAGATTTCTTCTAACACTATTTCTGCTAATTAATTTGCGTACTTGATTGAAGTTATACAGAAGTATACTTTACAAATCTTACTCTTTCAGGTGAACGACTGGCTCATGAACGTGCCGCGGCCGTACGTGGCAAAAGATGCGCATGGAGACCTCGGTTGCCGGTTGAAATTCAAACATTCAATTTTTAACGCTGGAACCGTTTAAAATAAGAATATCCCCGTCTCACGAACTTTCGTTCAATTATCAGGGAAAGATGTAGAAAAAAACAGTGCATAAAAGCTCGCCATTAGCACGTCATGGCAGTGGTCCGCTGCACTGCACGAAACAAATCCAATAGTTACAGTATGAGGGCCACGTTTGGCACGTTGCCTTCGACTGGCGGCGACAGGTGAAAGCCCAATAGCGTTTCAGAAAGCATTGCCGGTGTGGAAACACCAATGATACATCAAAACATTGCACGCCCTGGAATTTACAGGTCAGAGAAACAAGATGAAACCTTTCTCAATGGTCGATTGTTGAACAATTGATTATCATGAATATCAATATGAAGATTCTCCAGGGAAATAATTTTATTATCTGCTGGGAAAATCAGATAACAGATTAAGCAAGATAAAAGATTGTTCTGCTATCGAGAACCGATGCAAAGATTGAATCAACCTGAGCCAACCAACCACATATCTTCAGAGATTCTTGTACTTGGTCGTTTTGTTTTGGCTATCACCGCATTTGTCATAACATTACTAACAAAATGTGTAAAATTGAAATACAAAATTTTTGCTGTCGGAAACTGAGACGGAAGTACGAATTTATTTGATAATCAAATTTTGCATTTTCTAACAAATTCTGGAAGGTTTCTCAGGGCCCAGGGTGGCCCAGTGGTGGGCAGGGTTGCCCAGTGGTTAAAGTTCAGAGTACCAAGATTGACGCACTAGAGAGGCGCGGGTTCGATCCCAGCTCTGTGCGCCAGTTTCTGGTCAGAATAGGCGAGGAGGCCGGGCGGTTAAGCACAGCAGAATTGTAGCAGTGCGTTGCGAGTTCGAGACCTCAAAATGCTGTGAATGTTCTGCGATGTTAAGAATCGGCGACAGGCTTACGGCCTAATAAACGCTGAAACCGCTATTATTATTATCATCATTATGGGAAAAAAAATTGTTTCGTCCTCCAGTATGGCCTGTCGACTGCAGGATTTGAATTTGTGTCATTCTGAACCCGAGAAACTTTCAGTCAGGCCTGAAAGTTTTTGAAGTATTGGCTAGCTTCAGTAAGGCCCTGAAAGTTTTGGCTAGCTGCCATAAGTCACATATTAATTTTCATTCAATATATCAGTTAGATGGGAACACTAACAATATATAAACCATACTCTTAAAGCATGTCTTGAACGCATTCCGTTAAAATGTATAGTTCGTTCAACCAACGAGACCTCTGTCAGGCGTGAGTTTAGGTTCAGTATAGTCTATAGTATAGATGGATGTATTATTGCTTTGATATAACGCTGCAGTTGGATTATTCATCATATCAGAGCATGACGAACTAGACTCAGATATTCAAATTACCAGTCGCGTGACCTCAAAAGTTCGGATGGTTTCTCGCCACGCCTACCAATGTCCGGAAGTTATTTGAAACAAGCTTCCCTATTGGTTTTATAAGTCCAGCTTTAGGAAGGATGGGGTTGAAACGCCAATGAAAAAGTCGACGAAAGTCGACTGTGTCTGTGTGTTTATGAAAGTCGACGTATTTTCAGATAAACAGGAAAATATTAAGTCGTAGGCCGAAAGTTAACGAGATACTCTTTCTGTTAATATCGCGGGATTCCTGCAATTTATCGATTGCGGCTGATTAACAGCTGATTTTCAATAAAGCATTTATGTGCTCATTTTGTAGTGATCAACACTTTGCAAGAGTCTTAGGATTTCAGCTCTGCAACTCGTCCTAATGTATTTTTTTGAATATTTATCAAAAAAATCTACTCCTAATAGTAAGTACTGGTGTTGATTCTCAATAATTGAACCGAGAAACATTTCGGGAGTCTGAAAATTCGACGTTAAATCTCTTATATTCATTACAATAAAATTATTCGCCTGCAACCTTCTAATCATTCTTTATCTGTTGATACATTTCGCTACATACTTTTTACATCGTAATTCTAAAACTCATTCAATCATGGAATGAACATGCTCGTGTAACGCTTCCACGACACGCGAAGTTCAATTTTCATTCGATAACTCATGACCAAATCTGAGAATAATTTTATGCTTCGTGAGGCGTAGGAAGAATTTAAAATTTATATACGTTTATTATGTTTACACATTCGTTAACGATTAAATCACAGTCACAGATAAAGATACGAATACATTTTGATAACGCACGTACAACGTATAAAATTGTGGCACTTTTCTTCATAATACATACACGAAGGCGGCTTATTTTCGGCCTGCAGTTGGCCGCAGATATGCCGGCCAAGAAGAGGGGCTGCAGCACATTCGTCACAGCTTAGGCATGTCTGAGGAGTGAAGAGAAGACGAGTTACTTTACCTTAATAGAAATTCGATTTACCAGCACTTCACTTTAAGATTTATAGCCAGAACCATTCAAATTTAAAATAACCGATCAGGCCATAAACAGCGGATAATTTTTTTTTTTGCAATTATGCTTGCAGTTCGCAGGTTATATTTACATTCACTGACGGCGGCCAGCATCTCTAAATTGCTGTTGATAGGCTGGTCCCTTATTAACTGTTTAATCAGTGTAGCAGATGAACGAGGCTCGAACGGCGACTCGTTAACGTCGTACCGCCGCCTCGCGATAATTAACCAATCGTCAACCTGGAGAGCAAGCAAACTACATTAGATTTATATTTTTGTAATCTTTAAATATTAGGAAACGGTAAATGAATGATATATAGCGTTCCATTAATAATTTAGACAGTTATTTTCACCGTCTGAAATATTTTTTTTTCATCGTGTTTCTTTGAAAATTAGTAATCCTACGACTATGTTATGTAGGTAGGATATTTGTTAGCTTGCACTAATTTCTGCAATAGGAGTGATCATAATTTCGGGTTTACCTGCCTCATGTTGAGGCCCGCCTCCTGCGCCAGATGTAGCTTCTCTTCGGTGCTTGGATAGCGCGTGAAATTCTGAGCAAATCAATTTTTCAAGATTAACTTCGCTTCTGGACAAAACGAGCGTCCAGTCTTCGCAGCGGCGAGCCGGCGACATCCCTTTTGCCTAGTTTTAATTTTTATGCGACTGAACGTTCACGTCCTTGCCCTCTATGATTCCCACCTATATATAGGGCGGAACGTCAGTCGCAATCTTATTGAAGAAATAACTTGAACCGATTGACAACAAAAGGCCATATCTTCTAGTTCACCATAGCGGCTTGAAAAAATTTATATGCCACCACTCAAATTAGGGCACTTCACAGCAGGCACATAATATGGTCATATTCATATAGAGATACAAAAGGCTACGAAAACTTTCCACCCAGTCAGAATGTAGGCACACTGAGAGACTTGCAGCCGAATCACGATCGGCAGTTAATATCTGCAGCTATAAATGCTGAAGCGTTAAGTATTGTATTTCTTGACCGGCATGTTACAACTAAGTAGGAGACAAGTTTCCTACTAAGTAGGAGACTAAGTAGGAAACGACAGTAAGCTCTACACTTCGCTTTGAGACGAATCACTTGAAAAAAGGTCGAAAGCACATGTCACGTAGATGGTCTCACTGAACATTCCGCATTTATGATCAATATAATTCTGTCCTAACGCTAAAAAACTGAAAATAAAACCAATAAATTAAGAACAAAATATATTGAACGATTTTCCATCGTTCACAATTGCTTCCTCTCCAACACGGAATTTTGCTGTCATTAATTTTACTAGTCTCTTGATAACTGATAAAATGATCGCAACTTTACATTATTATGACAATATTTTGGAAAAAACAGAACAAGATTTCGCAGCTTCTTCTCAGGAACAAACAAATTTGTTTAAGTTTTACAGAACATTGGGAGAAAATTCACGAGATAAATACAAGCTAAGAATATTGAGGCAACCTCAGGTTGAAACTATGCATTTATGTATAAATATCATGAAGAAATGAATGATAATTTTACTTTTTTTAAATCACCATATGTGGTACAAAATACATTATTATTGTAAGAAATGTCAACATTTTCCATATGCGAACTGAATGCGGGGAAAATTTCACAAATTCGCTTGCATCAGAGAAAAATGTTACCAACACAGATGAACTTGTCACAGTTGAGATTGGCTGTCAAATTATTTGCCTCGGCCATGAAGCGCAAACTCCACTCACCTGTCTGAGGTGCCTGGGCGGCGTTCTGGAGGTGCGAATCCATTTTGCTGATTTAGGCTTTTTTTAGCGAGGCGCAAGAGCAGCAAACTGTGCAGGGAAATGAAAATATGTCACGTAAATTGACTATTAGACGAATTTTTTACGATATTATAAATATTATTATGTGACGGACAATTACCAATAATGTAGTATTTGATAGCAGAAGTGATGTTGGAATAATTACGTATATTTTTTTGGCCGACTAATTGTGCAGAAGACATAAGGAAAAGTCAGGGCTGCGACCAACAATATTAACGAGTGAAGATTAAATGGTGTCAATGTTATAAATGAGCTTCGAACTTTGTAAGTATACTGATAAAACTTATAAATTGCATTTATGTTCACGCACATTGACATCCAACACGTGCGCTTCACGTCTGAGTGCTCAGTCTATAACGTGCCTATAACCACAGTGGCCCAGTGGTTACAGTGCCTGAGTACCAAGATTGGAGCAGAGAGGCGCGGGTTCGATCCCAGCTCTGTGCGCCAGTTTCTGATCAGAATCGGCGAGGAGGCCGGGCGGTTAAGCACAGCAGAATTTGGAGCAGTGAGTTCGAGACCGAAACAAGCTGTGAATGTTCTGCCGTGTTGAGAATAGGCGACAGGCCTACGGCCTAATAAACGCTGAAACCGCTATGCTTTGCTAATATGAGCGAAGCAGTGGTATCCCTGAAGAGACACGTGGTGATGCTCACCTGACGACAGCGAGGAGTAGACTGATAACTGGGCCCCCGCCTATAGGCTTCTACAGGCGCCGTCAGACAAAGAGCGGATAGTATTTCGACTTGTGTTGAGGTCTCTAAGAATTCCATTTCTGTCAAATATTTTGCATACAATTTATTCTGTTTAAATGAATGATATTTATAATTCCGGTGAATTAGGAGTGGACATAACAAACAAATTATAACAATTATAACGAATGAACAGTCAAGGCTACAAGTCGCCAGTTCCCATCGGACATACTGCGACCCAATCAAATAAACAAAGAACAAACGCAAATTAATGACGATAAAATATAACCAATAAAAATTTAACTTCACCGGCGTTATTTTCAGTAAAGTAAAACACGATCATCATGGTATCTTAATAGTATTCGCAATCCATGATTGTGTAACATTGTAACCTTTACATTAAAGAGCTAATCCAAGTTGAGCATTTTCAACCTTTCATACTGCAACCTTCCTTGATCCAGTTCCAGTAAGTCATAATCACTCAATTTACTTGCTACTCTTACCTGCAATAAATAACTTTTATGAGCTGAGTTTATGCTGCGGAAGCACAGAGATTTTTCCAGATCTACTGTCGGACAGCACGTGTGGCTCAAAGTTACTAAATCGCAATCGAAGAAAATTTAGGACGAGCTTGCCGTTTTGATAGAGCGAGCTTACCTAAAAATAAACGGAAGCCATAGGACATCTCAGACAGTTCTTAATTGAATAAATTCATAAACTCCTTTAGGAGACCTTCTGGGTCAAAAAATTTTGTTTTTACTGACCGACCTGTCTTAAACTTCATACACATGTAAAACACTAATACAAGAACTTGTTGTATGAATTGTTTGAGAAGATGAAAGAAAACGTGAAACGTATAGAAAATGGAGAAAAGGGACTTATAAATTTATAGTCATTTTAGCGAATTTTCTCATATATGGAAAAAAAGACGTTATTGTCCGTGTGTTCACGGACGGACGAGAAAATGCTCTCTCTGTCTCTCAGTGCAGTGAGAACAGAGAGCGCAACTAATTTTTTATTTACGACTTTTACAAGAACGAGAAACTTGTAATTCGTTTCCTAATGCAAATATCTTGCGACTCTAGAAACCCATCGTCAAATATTTTTGGAAGACTTTTTCCATCTTCCCCCACCCATCCACTATCATTTCCTTATATTTTTACAATATATAATGCAAACAATAACATCCTCATTTATTCTGCCAGAATCATTAGTTCATTACCAAGCGAAACATTTCACTCTCCCGACAACTTATTTTCTACCTATACTTGATATTAATGTAATGCAAAAACTTCAGTGATGATTTGGCATTGCTTTTGCTTTGGTGCGGCCTAACATTAGATATCTAAGAGAAAAAATTGCAAAAAGTTACTAAAAGAGCGACTGCACTTGGCTGAGATTACATAAAATATTTTTCTTATACAATTTTGAGCAATGTAACTCCTCTTCGTGTACTAAACTCCTCAACCGAGGATATTACGTGTTCATTTGAAAAAACCTATAATGGATCAAGATTCAACATATAAATTTAAAGTAGAAGGCTAAAAAACATCATTGTATATAATACATATATTGCGAGTTCTAGCGGAATTTACTCAATGATGCTTCAGTTTCAATAAACCTGGGGAAGCTCATGGAGATGACATGGTCGCTGCTCTGCGAGATTTCAGTTGAGATCAGATTGCCGCGCATTGACACGTCGTGCATGGCTCATTTCTTGTCTACCGCTGATCTGGAAGAAGTGTTGACGGGTTCTCTGCACTAATTGCTGTCATATACATTTACTGTTTAGTTTGGAAAACAACAGTAGTCGATTATGTGAGAGCAGAAAAAAATAAAACTATTTCAATAAATTTATTTATGCTTAATGCTAAACACTCAACAGAACAATAAATTCGGCGTAACGCTAAATATTTTTGCTTACCTCAACGAAATTGCGGTCTGAGTTTCAGATGGAAGCGTTATCGCGATTTAAAAAAAGTTGTAATAGGCATCACACTCAAAAATAGTAATATATAGACTAAAGTTGTCTATATTTTTTATCAATTTTTATTTGAGAAGCATTAATCAGAGTTGTGTCCTATCTATGTTCTGATTATTTAGTATCTGCAATTATGTAATAATAATATATGATATATAGATTGCAGCGTTTATTAGCCCGGAGGCCTTGTCGCCGAGTCTTAACATTGCAGAACATCCACAGCTTGTTGTGGGCTTGAACTCGCAACTCAACTGCTTCAAATTTTCTTTGCTTAACCGCCCGGCCTCCTCGCCGATTCCGATAAGAGCTGGCGCACAGAGCTGGGATCGAACCCGCACCTCTCTGCTCCAATCTTAGTACTCTGAACTTAAACCACTGGGCCACCCTGATGTAAAACATAATATAATATACTGTTCGTCTTGTAGTTATTGTAAACCCATGCATTAGCCCGCGTAAATTCACATCCTAATATTCATTAAGAAATTTTGTACAAATATCATGCAGTGGTTGCAAGGATTCGCACTCATTTAACACATCAGGATACCTACTGGGGCAGCATTGAAGCTGAAGTTGACGTAGAGAAAATTTCGGGTGAGTTTGTATATTTCCGACGTCATTTGTTTCATAATTCACATTTGCCATGACCAAACTAATTAGAAACTATATCAATATTAGGCAATTTCCTCAGCGCCATTACGGTCACACTAGCGCAGTCAATCTTCCACTAAAAAAATATTTCACGTTGCCATGATACAACAACACCTGGAGTTTGATTCAATTTCTATTAAAAAGTTCTTAACTAACAAAAGATTTTAACACTTTTTTGAAGCCGCAGAAAGAAATTGGAAATTTTATATAATTCTCTGTAATGTATTTAGAGCCAGAATATTAACGTCGTCGTGTGTGAACCTGTAAGCGTTAACCAACAAGTAAAAAGGAGTGCAAATGTTAAATAAATTCAGCATATCTTCATTAAAAGCGTTTCAGAGACCATGCCAACATTTGTTCAGTTTTAAAAGGTCAAAGAATATGAAAACTTTGTAAATTTACTTGTCGTTTTCATAATAAACTTTTTAAACATTCATAACAAATTGCCCG